ACCAAAATGCCCCCACCGCTTTTCACATCAACTAATAGCGGGGTTCTGATGGAAGCGGGTCTTCCGCACCCCCTGGACTATCCCTGGGACCAATCATTCTGCCTTGGTTGTTTTCTGACGGTCCTGGGGGCCCGGAAGGGCCCCGAGAGTCAGGTCTTCTGTTTCTAACAACAACTATGCTCAAAACCCTCGCCCTTAGGACACCAATATTTTACCGTGGAGTCCCTGAAAAATCACTCCAAGTATCCCTTTCGGGATGCGTCTTAAACAGAGTCCCACCAGCCCTCTGGGCGTAGGTGGTTTAGGGCACGTCCTCTTCCACCCCTCCCTCTTCCCATTCGGGGAAGGGTTTACCCCTCCCCCATTACCTCCTCCCCTGGACCTGGACGGGCGGTGCCGCGACCCATTGGATCGTCCAAGATGGCCCAAGATGGCTTCAAGAGGGCCTCGCAGAGCCCAAGATAACCTCCAATATTGCTCAAGATGACCCAAGATGGCTCTCAAGATGCTCCTAGAGGCCCCAAGACCGCTCCAAGTGGCCACGGAGTCTCCCACGGAGGCCCCCACGATGTCAAAATCCTTCCAATTCCTGGGAAAATCAATGAATTTGGCCGTCTCGCCTTTTTGCTGTCGATGGCCTTCCGAAGCCACAAGAACGCCCCAGGACGGCCCAAGAGGGCCCCCAGAGAGGCCCAAAAGAGCCCCACGACGGCCCCAAGACCGCCCCAGAGCTCCCCAAAACGGCTCCAGAGGGATCCAAAAGGCGATGTTAGGCACTCTCGAAGGGCGAGGCTAATTGAAGCTCCTCCCTTTTTTGGATAGATGTCCTCCATCATGGTTCCAAGAGTGTCCCCAAGGCGCCCGGGATGCCCCAAGAGGCGTCCAAGAGACCTCCAACAGGCTCCCACGAGATTCCCAAAAGGCTCCCCGAGGTGCCCAAGAGGTCCCCAGGACCGCCATGAGGCCCCCAAGACGACCCAAGAGGCCCTCAAGTTCGCCATGCTCCTCCTCAGGCCACAGGCACTCATCGTCGCTCGAAGAATCCCTCCTCCTCATCACCAGCACCATCATCTGCATATTTCTCATCATCCTCCGCCCTCTCTCATCAATCCTCCTCCTTTTCTTCCTCCTCCCGCGAACGATGACGGCTGCCCCCTTCGTTGCTCCTACACTTCCCTGGTCACCTCCACTCGCCTGGGTGTCGTTTCTACTCGCCCTGGCGTCGTTTTCTGGATGGGCTGGCGGGGATACTTTTTGATCTGCGGGCTCGCGAAGCAAGTCGAAAGCCATCCGAACACTAGCCGGGCCGCGACTAGGCAGTAAAAAAAGAGAGGCAAGATTGGCGGAGATGATTTTCGTCGCGGTCGCAGGCAAGCGCGCCAGCAGCGTCAGAGGTCGGGCGGGCTACGCGCGAACCTGATTTTGCCTAGCGCACGGGGACCGACGGCCGAACCTAAGCTGCCTAAGCTGCCTAAGCTGCCGGGCTGCGCGAGGTGGTGCCAGGAAGCGGGGCAGGGCCCGAAACATTGCCGACACGATGCAAACTGCAACCAGGACCAGGATCCGGGGGCAGTGCCGATGCACAAATTGAACCAAGGAGCTACAAGCAGCCAAAATGGCGCGGCAAAGCCACAGACAACCGGCGGGGAGATTTTTGTTTTTGTTGTTCGGCGGCCCGCAAGGAAAAGTCCAGAGGGCGTGTTCAACACAGGCACAGGGGCGCAATGCCAGATAATCAGTGAGGGGGTGGCGGGGATAATACGCGAAGCGTCACGAATCTGCTTGGGCAGCCAGGTCTGGCGGCGGGAAGACTCCCAGAGGCTCACAACGAAAGCCCAGAAAACAGTAGCCTCCAAACTCGAACCCGCAACCGCGACACTGCGAAGTTCGGGCAACGGCGAGGGGTAGAAACTTGGCTGCATGCAGCTGGCTTCCTCTGTGCCTCCTGGCGTCTGGGGCGGCCACGCATCGAGGAACGCGTTGAGCGGCGGGGCCGAAACCAAATGCCTGCCCCAATCTCGTCATAATTGATTTGTTGTACTGCTCGCGATAACATCCGTCACTGGAGCCGCCCCCCCCCCCCCAAGGAAGCGTCGCGCTTCGATCCGGCGTCGACTGGGAATGGCTACAGGTAGTTACCTGATTCCCACACGGCGACGGCGCAAGTCGTGACGTCATGGCTCTCTCCCCCCCTACACCCAGTACCAGAAAAAAAATGCTCACGCCCCCATTTCCAGCCCTCACCCTGTCGTTCGCCCAAATATTCCCGCTCGCCCCAGAACATGTCCCCGATGTCGGAGCCAGCTGCCGACAATCCGACGATGTTTGTTCAATGTCATATGTTCAATGCGCGACCCCGAGATGTCCCGACTCCTTCCCCAGGGGAAGGGTGCAGTTTTGTTCGTCCTGGATCAATGTTTGATGGCACCAGGGCCTGATGCATCATAACGAACGGACCCCATAAACCGAAATGAAAATCAAAACCGCTGGGATCGAACAAATGAACCATGCCGTCGAGCACATGGGTTTGGGGTTCCTTTCGGCTTTCCTGCGCCATTCCTCCGTGGTGCTGGGTGGCTGCCCCGCCAGAGTAGGACTCCCCAATGTGGCCCGAGTAGATGGGGTCGCAGGATCGCGCCGCGCAACCAATGCATGGCCGATGCACCAGCGATGCATCGGCGACGACTTCCATACATCGGCGCTCTCGGCGTGGAGAACATCGGACTCCACGTCGAGCCTCCATCGCCGATGGCATCGGCGATGCGGCGCGACCCTCCGACCCCATCTGGCGGGTTCCGGAAACCATGACCCCTGCCCCCCAAAATGATGGGCCTGTTTTCCACCAACACCACCATAAGTTGGAGGGGGGAAGGAAGTGGAAGACGAGGAGGAGGAGATGGTGGTGGTGGTGGTGGTGGTGGAAAACAGGCCCATCACAAAATGCTGCAATCTCCTGGGAGGCCGATTGTACTTCCGCCACTGCCGCCCGCGGAGGCGGCCTCGCGCCCCCTACCGCCAGACTTCCGCCGAGGAAGAGACGCCAACTCTTTGAGTCCGCGAAGGCGAGGCCGTTTCTGGAACAACCCATCCGAACCCCGCCGTCGCGGCGATTTTTCATAGCACCGGCTCCCCAAGGTCTCAACCCACTCCCCGGCCCCGTTTTCCCATCCCGAGTCGTTTTTTTGTCGGTCTCGGGGCCCAGTAGGGGCCCCCCGAGGCCGAAAATAGAGAACCTCCCGTCGCGATTGTCTCATGACCCAACGAGGTCTCGGATCCCACCAGGGAGGCTCCCGAGTCGTTTCTTGACAGTCCCGAGGTCCTGTAAGGGCCCTCAGAGGCCGAAAATAAAGGAGAACCTCCCGTCGCGATTGTCTCATGACCCGAGGAGGTCTAAGACCCCACCGGGAAGGCTCCCGAATCGATTCTTGACGACCCCGAGGCCCCCGTAGGGGCCCCCAGAGGCCGAAAATAGAGAACAACCTCCCGTCGCGATTGTCTCGTGACCCGACTCGCTTTTGGACGGTCCCGAGGCCCGGTAGGGGCTCCCCAATGCAGAAAAAGCATCGAAAGGTTTCAGTTTTGATGCCCCCCCCCCTGTTTCTCTCGGCGGTGGTAAAACTGGTCCCTCTTCCTCCTCCTAATCCTCTTCCTCCTCGTATTCCTCCTCCTCGTCCTCCTCCTGCTCCTCCTTGTGGTCGTTATCGTCGTCGTCGTCGTCGTCGTCGTCGTCAGCGTCGTCTTCGTCGTCGAGGCGGCGGAAATTATTTTCCCTCTTTTGTTGGGCGGGATGGATAATGCTTGGGTTTTGTCTCCCAAGGGATAATCCATTGTGGGCTACCCTACGCGAGAGAGGATTTGTGAACATGTTCTCATGAACATTGCAATAAGAATCAATGGTTGCGGCTGTAGCCGTGATTGTAGTCATGATTATAATCGTAACTGTAATCGGTTGTAGTCGTGATTGTAATCGTAATCGTAGTCGTGGTTGTACTCGTAATCGTAGTCGGAGTCGCAGTCGTAATCGTCTTCGTCGCGGCGGATATGCTTATCCCTCTATTACTGGGCGGGCTGGATATTCTTGGGAGTTGCTTCTCCCAGGGAATTGATGCTCCCTGGGATACCCTGCACGACAGAGGAATGTTGAGCACGTTTGTTGGAAGATTGCGATATATCTATATATATTCAGATAGATCGGGACACTCTTCACCGAAGGCGTTTCTTATAATCTCCTCCTTCATCTCGTCGTCGTTACTGTTGCGCGGCGGGCAGAGAAATCACTATTTTCCATTATTGGTGGGACCCCAATTCTTCAAAAATGTCGCCGAACAATAATTCAATACCCCCTATTGTGAGGGGGTATCTGAAGACCCTAATGGGTTTGAGGATCACCTCCCGCCACGATTGTCTCATGACCCGAGGGGGTCTCGGACCCCACTGGGTTTTTTTGTCCATCCTGAATTGCTTTTTGACGGTACCGAGGCCCAGCAGGGGCCCCCAAAGGCGGAACATAGAGAAGAACCTCCCGTCGCGATTGTCTCATAACCCGAGGGGACCTCCAGAGGCCGAAAATAGAGAAGGGCGGTATGGCGGTACGGGGCTCCCAGAGGCCAACAATAGCGATGAACCTCCCGTAGCGATTGTCTCGTGACCTGAATCGTTTTTGGACGATCCCGAGGCCTGGTGGGGGCCCCCAGAGGCCGAAAGTAGAGGAGAACCTCCCGTCGCGATTGTCTTCTTACCAGAAGGGGGTCTCGAAACCTCCGTCTCGACCTTTCCTGGACGTTGGGGCGACGACGACGACGACGACGACGACGACGACGACGACGACGACGACGACGACGACCACGACCATTACCACGCGACGACGACGACGACGACGACGACGACGACGACCACGACCATTACCACGATCACAGCCTCGACGACCACGAAGACGGCGACGACGACGACGACGACGACGACGGCGGCGGCGGCGACGAGGACGAGGACGACGATCCCACCTGGGAGGCCTGGCGGCCGTCCTTCGCAGCGCCGGGGCCCGCCAGGCGCGCGGGCGCACCCTTGCTGGCCGAGACCCCCTGCGACTGGGAGGAGCGCTGGGCGGGAGGCGGACGCCGAGCGCGGCACCCAGGCGTCAGCGTCGTCGTCGTCGTCGTCGTCGTCGTCGTCGTCAGCGTCGTCAGCGTCGTCGTCGTCGTCAGCGTTGACGCCCTCGTCCTCGTCCTCGTCCTCGTCCTCGTCGTCGTCCCAACGTCTTGGAGAAATCGAACCGAAAATTTAAGGCAGAATTCGGCGCCTGGGCGACGTCGGGCTCCCCGGAGATCCTTCGATGGGTTCCTTCCGTCTGCGGCCCCAAAGCTCCCGACGCCTTCCCCGGGAGTGCCCTCAAATCTGGGCGGGGCACCTTTGTCGCAAAGGGCCCCAGAGGCTCACCAACGTTACTTTTTAACAATGGATGTTGTGCAACATGTTCATACACTGGTAAACTTGCAGCATTTTGATCATCCGCCGGTAAAATGTAGCAATGGATGCTGTCATCCACCGGTAATTCAACCACATCCACCAATAATCCATCAACACATCCATTGGTCATGTTACAGTCAATATTTAACATGTGCGCTGACACGGTGGCAGGAATTGCCGCTGCTGGCTGGATGAACAACCATGCGTAATCACATGTCCGCGGGTGCCTAACACGGGCGAGGCCACGAAGTGGCATTTATGCGTATGTTCAGGTGCGCGCGTGCCTTGGCGTCGCCGACAGCATACACAGGTAAAATTGATATCCACCGGAAGCCTAAGTACATCCACCGGCATTCATGTTTAACAGTGAATGCGTTTTCCCTCATTTAAGCTCATGCGCCGGTAAATGGCCGACATCCACCGGTAAAACCAACATCCACCGGTAAACAGGCCGACGCGAGCGCAACGTTAAAAAATAACAAGGAAAAACCTCTGGGGCGTTTTCGCCGGGTCTCGGGCACCAAGACCCGGCCATTTTCGCCAGGTCTCGGGCGTTTCGCCCCGGAAGGCGTGATCGGGGAAAACCTTCAGCTGGGAAAAACTGGTCGACGGAGATGTGGGTCCAGGTGAACGAATGCAAGGTGATGATCTCGCCATCGCTCGGACGTTCATTTCCCGGGTATGTTTTGTCTTCGTGCGCGTATTTTTCCGCACGATGACCTACAATGCTTCTCGATGGCCCTTGCCGAGAAAAATGCACACGTCCGAGCGATGCCAAGCGATCTGAGTCCAGGGGCCATCGAAAAACGACCCAGGAGGAGAAGCTGGCCCCGGGGAGAGGGTCGGGACTTCCTGGGGCCCCGGATTGCAAAGAGTGGCCTAAGCAGGAAAGGCTTTCCCAGACCTCCTCGTCGCGTCGTCCACAAATAACAACGGACTACTTTTCACAATCGTCGGTCCCGCGGGAGGGCCCTTATCGGGCCCCAGGACGGTCAAATAATGGCTCTGGATGAGAAGCCAGTCCCAGTGAAGTGCGAGTCTAGACCTATAGGGGACCCAGCTGTGGAAAAGGACATGACGCCACAACTCTGGGCAAGAGCGACAAGTTGCTGCCACGCTGCGGCAGTGGTTGCATGCGTGCTCTGGTTTGGCCTCCCCGGGGCCCCCAGCATCACACCAGCCCTTTAGGGTGTGAGTGGTTTAAGGATTTCCCTTTCCAATCCCCTTCTTCCCCTTCGAGGACGGGTTTACCACTCTCCCTACATCCCACCCTAGTTCTGGACGGGGCATGTCGCGAGACGTTGGAACGTCCAAGAAGTCCCCGGCAAGGAAGCCCAAATTGTTGATTCTCGACGGTTCTTGCCACATTTGGGCCTGATGGGGAGGAACCCTAATTGAGGAGCTCCCCTCCTTTGATCGATCTCCTCCAAGATGGCTGCAAGATGACCCCCGAAGCTCTCAAGGGTGCCCCAAGAGGGCCAAGAGGCCCCCAAGATGCCCCCAAGAGGCCCCCAAGAGACCTCTATGACGCCCCCAAGAGGCCCCCCAGAGGCATCCAAGACGCCCCAAGAGGCCTCGACGAGAACCCACACTTATTGATGTTACACTTCAAGTTTTGACCACATGTTGGCCTCCTGGAGGGAGGCCCCAATTCAGAAGCCTCATTCCTTTGATCGATCTCCTCCTAGATGGCCCCAAGATGGCCCCCGACGCTCCCAAGGGTGCCCAAGAGGGCCCCAAGAGGTGCCAAAGAGGCCTCAAGAGACCCCCATGAGGCGCCCAAGATGTTCCTAATAGGTCCCCAAGAGATACCCAAGACGCCCCCAGAGGCATCCAAGACGCCCCTAGAAAGCATCGGCCGAAAGCCCAAAATCAATGATTACCTAACAGCGAAGACTGATAGGTTTCTAGTGGACTCAAAAGAGAGCATCCTGATTCCCCAGGGGGGTCTGGGCAGATGCCGGACGGGTGCCGGGGAAAACCGGGGACTCCCCATTTTCACTGCCAGGAGCCACATTTTGACTGCCCGGAGCCAACAGAACACCACTCCCAGGCCACATTCTGAATGCCCGGACCCAACTGTAAACCACTTCGTGTTCTTCGTGCTCCCAGAACAGCATTCCCAGGCCACATTTTGAATGCCCGGAGCCAACTGTAAACCACTTCGTGTTCTTCGTATTCCCAGAACACCATTCCCAGACCACATTTTGAATGTCCGGAGCCAACTGTAGACCACTTCGTGTTCTTCGTGTTCCCAGAACACAATTCCCAGGCCACATTTCGAATGCCCGGAGCCAACTGTAGGCCACTTCGTGTTCTCCGTGTTCCCAGAACACCATTCCTGTACCATATTTTGATTGCCCGGAGCCAACTGTGGGCCACTTCGTGATCTTCGTGTTCCCAGAACGCCAGTCCTGTGCAATATTTTGGATGGCCGAGCTGAGGCAGGCTGAGGCCGAGGCAGGCTGAGGCCGAGGCAGGCTGAGGCTGAGGCTGAGGCACGCCGAGGCAGGCTGAGGCTGAGGCTGAGGCAGGCTGAGGCTGAGGCAGGCTGAGGCTAAGGCTGGCTGAGGCCGAGGCAGGCTGAGGCTGAGGCTGAGGAAGGCTGAGGCTGAGGCAGGCTGAGGCTGAGGCTGAGGCAGGCTGAGGCTGAGGCTGAGGCCGAGGCAGGCTGAGGCTGAGGCCGAGGCAAGCCGAGGCAGGCTGAGGCTGCGGCTGAGGCTGATGCTGAGGCAGGCTGAGGCTGAGGCTGAGGCTGACAGGCTGAGGCTGAGGCTGAGGCAGGCTGAGGCTGAGGCAGGCTGAGGCTGAGGCCGAGGCAGGCTCAGGCCGAGACAGGCTGAGGCTGAGACTGAGGCTGAGGCTGAGGATGAGGCCGAGGCAGGCCGAAGCTGAGACAAGGTGAGGCTGAATGGGGGGGGGGGGGGAAGGGGGGGGGAGGAGGGGAGGCTGAGGCAGGCTGAGGCCGAGGCAGGCTGAGGCCGAGGCAGGCTGAGGCTGAGGCTGAGGCAAGCCGAGGCAGGCTGAGGCTGAGGCTGAGGCTGAGGCTGAGGCAGAGGCTGAGGCAGGCTGAGGCTGAGGCCGAGGCAGGCTGAGGCCGAGATAGACTGAGGCTGAGGCTGAGGCAGGCTGAGGCTGAGGCCGAGGCAGGCTGAGGCTGAGGCTGAGGCAAGCCGAGGCAGGCTGAGGCTGAGGCTCAAACTGAGGCAGGTTGAGGCATCCGTAGGAATCCATAGGAATCCTTAGGAATCCCTAGGAATCCATAGGAATCCGTAGGCATCCTTAGGAATCCGTAGGCATAGTTAAGCATCCTCAGGAATCCTTAGGAATCCTTAGGAGTCCTTAGGAATCCTTAGGAATCCTTAGGAATCCCTAGGAATCCCTAGGAATCAGAATTCCGAAGGATCCCTAAGGTTTCCTAAGGATTCCTATGGATTCCTAAGGATGCCTAAGGATGCCTTAGGACTCCCTAGGAATCCTTAGGATTCCATTGAACCTAAGGCCGTTGCCACTGCGACTGTCATTGCGAATGCGACTGCGAGAACAGCAGAATTTTACAACTGGATTCTCACCTGAATCTGAAGGGGAATGCTTCCAAATATGCTTGTACACATCGCTGTTAGGTTGCTTTGCCAGGGTAATTTGATTCAGGCTTTGGCCACATGTTGGCCTCCTGTGAGGGGGGGCTAATCAAAAAGACTCATTCATTTGATCGATCTCCACCTAGATGGCCCCAAGATGGCCCCGGACGCTCCCAAGGGTGCCCAAGAGGGCCCCAAGAGGTGCCAAGGAGGCCTCAAGAGGCCCCCATGAGGCGCCCAAGATGTTCCTAATATGTCCCCAGGAGATACCCAAGACGCCCCCCAGAGGCATCCAAGACGCCCCATAAGAGGCATCGGCGAGAAGCCCCAAATCACATAATGGATTAAGGCATTGGCCACATGGTGGCCTCCTGGGGGGAAGGAACCTAAGTGAGGAGCCCCCTTTCTTTGATCGATCTCTACCAAGATGGCCCCCGAGGCGTGCCCCAAGACGGTCCCAAGAGGTGCCAAGGAGGCCCCAAGAGGCCCCCAAGAGGCTCCAAGATGCCCCCCCAGAGGCACCCAAGACGCCCCAAGAGGCCCCCTGGACTGCCAATAAAATCCTAAGACGCCCAAGAATACTCCAAGAAGCTCTCGAATGACATCCGAAGAGACTCCCAGAGGCATCCAAGAGACCTCTCGCCTTACTGCTCGACCTCCTCCTCCTCCTCCTCCTCCTCCTTCTAATCATCCGCCAGTTCCTCCTTCTTCCTCTTCCCTCCTTCCCCTCCCTCTCTCCCTCCTCCTCCTCCTCCTCCTCCTCCTCCTCCTCCTCCTCAATGCTCAAAACATATTACGGGGACGATTTGCTAGCATGTGCTTGTAACTTGTTGAATCTGCCTCATTTTTCGTCTTTTGAATACTTCGCATGTGTTTTATTTGTCGTCCCAAATCCGCCTGTAGGGGGACATGCCCGACCTAAGGCCGAGAGCAGCAAGGGAGGCGGCGACGGCTCC